CCACCTGATTTAGAACACCTAATTTTACAAATAAGGAAAAAAAACCCCAATAAGATAAGTGATTTGGGGGCGCCTGGGTCGCTCAGTCGGTTAAGTGTCTGCCTTCAGCTCAGGTCATGATCCCAGGGTCCTGGGATCGAGTCCCGCATGGGGCTCCCTGCTGAGAGGGGAACCTGCTTCTCCCTCTGCCCCTTCCCCTTGCTCATGCTCTTGCTTGCTCTCTCTCTCTCTCTCAAATGAATAAATAAAAGATCTTTAAAAAAAAAAAAAGATAAGTGATTTGGTCCAAAGTCACATGGCTAGTTAGGGACCGAACTAGGACTATAACTCAGAGGCCTTGACTCCCAGGTCAAAGCCTGTATGGGGCGGAGAAACTGGCGGTTCTCTGAATCCAGTTCAAAATGGGGTCCTTTGGTGGAGTTGTGCTCTGATCTAGGCTTCTGCGGAAAAGACTGCTAGATGCCCTCCCCAGAAACTCCCTGGTTGATTCACACCTTCACATCCTCACATGTGCAACTTGAAGACCTGCCCTAGAAGCAATGCTCACGTGGAAGTAGAAGGATACTGGACCTAACATGAAGCCATATGGAGAAATAAAGAGCGCCGGTAAATAGAACTACCAAGGTAAATACAAAGCCAGTATTATATTTTAGTTGGTAACTCATTTATCCTCTATATGGTTTAAAATGCAAATGCATGAACAATAATCATAGATGTACGTTAACGGGCACACAATGTATAATGATGTAACTTGTGACAATAACAACATAAAGGAGGAATGGTGTTGCACAGAAGCAGAGGTTTTGGTTTTTTGGGGTTTTTTAACATTTTATTTATTTATTTGACAGAGAGAGACACAGCAAGAGAGGGAACACAAACAGGGGGAGTGGGAGAGGGAGAAGCAGGTCTCCTGCTGAGCAGAGAGCCTGATGCGGGGCTTGATCCCAGGACCCCGGCATTATGACCTGAGCCGAAGGCGGACGCTTAACGACTGAGCCACCCAGGCTCTCCAGAAGCAGAGTTTTGATATACTATTGAAGCTAAAGTGGTATGAATTCAAAACTGATTGTTGTATGGTTAAGAGTTGAATTATGATCTCCAGACTAACCACTAAGAATACGACTAAAAACAAATAAACAAAACATAAAAAGATGGAAAAGGAAATAAGAAAGGAATCAAAACAGTACACTACCAAAAAAAAAAAAAAATCAAACACAAAAGCAAAGCAATAATGGAGAAGCTGAGGAGCACTGATTTCTTTCCCAGGTTCTTCTCCTGATTTAACTTTTGTGTTAACGACTGCAAAATAAGATGAAAACAAGATACTGCCCATTGACGAATATTTTGCAGTGTTTCTCCAGCAATTGGGTGTCACAAAACAGAAGCCATCGCTCGTTCGTCTGAGCCTCCCACTGATTCCTAGTCATTGCCAGTCCTTTCAGTGGACTGGGGTGATGGGGGCTTCCGTGGGGCTCCTGTAGGGCAGCAGGGGCACTGGTTTAACTCATTTCTTGAGGTTTTATTATGCTGTTTGAAAGGTGTTTGAGTTAACTTTCTTGTATTGCTTTTGACCATGATCTTATTTACATGTCTTTCATGTAAAACATTCAAAATACCTGAAGAAGCTCAAGTAGACAGTGAATGCAGGGAAACCGCCTTGCTATGTCAGGGTCTATGACAACTGCTGTTAGCATTTGAAATTCTCGAGCCCCTTTTAATACAATTGGGTGTTAGTGAAACGAGATTTGGGGCACGAACATATTCAGGCTCTTTCCGCATAAGATAGAAACCCCGATAAGAAAGCCTGTTGGCTCAAGAAACTGAGAAGGCCAAGGCTTCAGGCACTCTAACTATGTCCTCAGGACCTGTAGGTTCCCCCACCGCTAGGGCTCTGCTGCTTCCGTGTTGGCTCACTTCTGAGACAGGTGCCCCCTGCTGATGACATCGCCGTGGCTCCTCCAGCTTCACATCCTTCCTGGCTCAGGTAGAAAGGCCAAGTCCTGGGACTCATTCTGACCAGACTGGTCTTGGGTCCTGGAGGATTTGGGACCCTGATATCCAGGCCTGTCCCGGAGTCTGGGTCGGAGCCCCACCCAGAGCACAGGGACAGGGAGTAGGGGCAGGGGTGGCTCCCCTAAAGGAACTCAGAGTGTTACCAACGGATGGGGGCATGGATGCAGGGGGGCCTCTGCACTCCTTCCTACGTAGAATGCCAGATGGCACGAAGACCACCGACGTCCACACACTCCTCACGCAGATGCTCCAGAGGGGAGATATTGGCCAAGAAGGGAGTCAGTCCCAGGATGTAAGAAGCAGCCGTGTCCTCAGGGACCCTTTAGTCCAACCCCTTCATTGTGCAACTAAAGAAGCTGAATCCAGAAACATTAATGAGGTCTACAAGGTTAGCACTTCTTTGTAGAGCTTGGTTGGGAGGTGGGGGAGTCCAGGTATTCTGACCCTTCATGCAGACCACTCTAATAAGTACCCCTAGCAGAAGGGGTTAACTAGTAGAACTTTCTGAGTGCCTTAAGATAAAAATCTTCCTCAGCAATGGACAAAGATTATAATTTCTATTTTCTCTATCTCCCCATATGCCCAATAAGATGTTGAAGTAGATATCTGTATACGTACATGGGTAATACATACAGATTTATATGTATATGTGTGTATATAGATATTGCATAGATCTATGTGTGCGGGTATGTGTATATATATATATACACATATATACATATATATATGGCAAGAGAGAGAGAAAGAGAGTGATTGCATTTTAGACTCATGCTTAAGTAGAAACACTTAAGTAAAGAAAGGTTTTTTCCCCCTTCAAAATGCATAGAGTTATGGGATAATTATAGTTCAACACCAGGGAGAAGGAATTGATTATCTTCAAGTTCCCCCACAGTCTGTGTTATTTTTATTGATTTTTCTGAAGCTCATTTCCAAACATCTGAGTAAATATACAAAATAAATATTCCTCTTAAGTCATTACTATCGTTGCTGGGGCTGGGAGCCAGGCCCTCGCATCTGTCCCCTTTCCCATATGCATCAGTAAAGTGCCAAGTGAACAGATGGCTTGTGTGCTCTGCTGAAACATCTGGCGAGCTTGGGTTGTGTTTGGCTACAGTCACAGATGCGGCTGGGCACTGCCTCCAGGCACAGCTCGTTTGACTATATCATACTGGGACGGAGGAAGAGGCCCTGAACTGAGGACATGAACATGGAAATCTCACACTTGAGACAGCGGGGTGTTTGTTCCTCTGATTTAAGAGACATCAAATGAATCTAATCCAATAATCCAGCAGGCGTACTAGGCCCAACATTTGCCCCCCGCCCCCCCACCCCGCCCACAGATAACCCAACATGCAACATATCCTACCAAAAATAAGCCTTGTTAAGACCTCCTTCTGTAAGTTGGCTGCTCACCTGGTCTTTTCATTGTGGCCACTAGTCTTGACTACAGTTTTTAGGTGTGGATCACATAAGTATCTAAAGGGGTCCTTTGACTTACAGCATTTTTTTAAAGATTTATTTTATTTTAGAGAGAGCACAGGGAGGGGCAGAGGGAGAGAGAGAAGCCCAAGCCGACTTCCCCCTGAGCGGGAAGCCCAACGCAGGGCTCAATCCCACAACCCTGAGATCAGGACTCAAGCTGATACCAAGAGTCGGACACTTAGCCGACTGAGTCACCCAGATGCCCTGACTTAAAACTTTATAAATGTAATAGTAGGAAGGGAAAAATTAAGGGGGGGAAATCGGAGGGGGAGATGAACCATGAGAGACTATGGACTCTGAGAAACAAACTGAGGGTTCTAGAGGGGAGGGGAGTGGGGAGATGGGTTAGCCTGGTGATGGGTATTAAAGAGGGCACGAACTGAATGGAGCACTGGGTGTTATATGCAAACAATGAATCATGGAACACTACATCAAAAACTAATGATGTAATGTATGGTGATTAACATAACATAATAAAATAAAATTTAAAAAAACTTTATAAATGTATATAATAAAATGAACTTGGTACAGCTGTTTTTGAAGACAGGTTGGCAGTTCCTTATAAACTAAACATACACTTACCACACCATCCAGCAATTGTGCTTCTTGGTCCTATATTTACCCAAAAGAATCAAAAGCTATCAGAAGCTTATGTCCACACAAAAACTTGCCCATGGATGTTTCTAGCAGCTTTATTCATAATTGCCAAAATGTGGAAGCAACCAAGATGCCTTTCAGTAGAATGGATAAATAAACTGTGGTTCATCCAGGCAATAGAATATTATTCAGCACTAAAGAAATAAACTGTCAAGCCATGAAAAGATATGGAGGAAACTTTAATGCATATTATTAAGTAAAAGAAGCCAATCTGAAAAGGCTATATGGTGGATGATTCCATCTAGAATCATAAGATCTGTGGTTGTCGGGGGACGAGGCCAGGGATGAATAGGTGGAGCACAGAGGATTTGGGGTATGGTGAAAATACTCTGTACAATACTATAATAGTGGATATATATTATCATACATTTGTCCAAACCCACAGAATGTACAACACCAAGAGTGAATACAAAGATAAACTATGGACTCTGGGTGATGATGATGTGTCAATGTGTCAATGTAGGTTCATCAATTGTAACAAATGTACCACACTGGTGGGGGATATTGGTAATGGGGACAGGAGGCATATGGGAAATCTCTGTACCTTCCCCTCAATTTTTCTGTGAAGCTAAACATGCTCTAAAAAAATAAGATTTTTTAAAATTTATTTTTATTTTTTTTAAAGATTTTATTTATTTATCCATGAGAGACAGGGAGAGAGAGAGAGACAGGCAGAGGCAGAGGGAGAAGCAGGCTCCCTGCTGACCAGGGAGCCGGATGCAGGACTCAATCCCAGGACTCCAGGATCATGACCTGAGCCGAAAGCAGACGCTTAACCATCTGAGCCACCCAGGCACTCATAAGATTTTTTTTTAAGATTTTATTTATTTATTTGACAGAGAGAGAGAGACAGTGAGAGAGGGAACACAAGCAGGGGGAGTGGGAGAGGGAGAAGCAGGCTTCCCACTGAGCAGGGAGCCCGATGCGGGGCTCAATCGCAGGACCCTGGGATCATGACCTGAGCCAAAGGCAGACGCTTAACGACTGAGCCACCCAGGTGCCCCTAAAAAAATAAGATCTTAATAATACAAATAAATAAATAAAATGAACTCTATGCAACAGCCACCAGTTAAATTGAAGCTGCTTACATTTATTCATTCATTCTAAAAACTATTACTGAGTGCTTCCTACATTCTAGACATGGAGCTACTGAGCCAAGGGCAGGAAGCAACACCTCGAATAATACACAATTGTTTTTATAGGAACCCATCCTCCCTCTTATGTAAATTGGTAAAAACCCTTAGATATTCTGATCCAGAAGTCTCTCTCTGTGGTTCAACTCGGCTCCTTTCCTTCCGTTGTCCATTAAACCTTTTCTCCCTCACCCAAGAGTTTGTGCTGTCAATAGCTGTTAATCCCATCTGCAGAAAATTTGCTCTCCATTTGTACATAAAGTTCATTCTCTAAGTTCAGCCATCTCTTTGGCAATAATATTCATGAATATGGGCTATGGCAGGAATCCACATACTGCTGGAATGTAGGAAATCTCAATTCTTTCAATATGTATTTTTCACAGTTTAGGCTGAAACCAGGTATCTTGTCACCTGCTCTGCCTGGAAATGCAGCTCTCAGGGTCCCTCAGTACTTCGGTAGAGTATTGAGAGGGCTTTTGCAATCACTCACTCTTTGAAGGAAGTGAAAAGCTTCTAAGTTGAGAACAAATTCCAGGTACTTCAATTACCTGGAAGAGTTTCCTCTATTGCTAAGAAGTTCTTGAACTAGATGATACTTCCTGTTCAACATCATCAGGAGCTTCCTCTAAAGTTGGCATTCTTCCGACTCCCCCAAATGGCTACGATTCTCTTCCATAGTTCTACCTGAAGTAGGGGGTTGCTAATATTAAATACTTTGTTTAGTGCACTAAACGGGAACTGGATGGTCCTGGGGTGGGTAATTGAGAGAAGGTCAAGGTGTCTCAGTAGGAGTTTCCCATGAGACTCTTGGTTTCCCATGAGACTCTTCAGGACCTTATTCCAAACTCCCCTGCTCCCCTGACCTGCTCAGCTGGGCACTGTTCAAGCTCCAGCTCAAGCCCACTTGCCACAAGTCTACAATGGACTGTTTCTTTCCCTTTATGCATTTTTAAGAAAATGTTTCATTTTCAACAGTCATATTTAAGGTCAAGGGCACAGTCTGGAAAACTGCATAAAGTTGAGAGTTTTGGATGGCAGATTTGGCCAAGTGATCAGCAGTCCCTGTTCTAGCAAATTATCTGAAGGTTGCTTCTTCCGAAATTCACTGTTCGTAATTACCAGGACTTGATTAGGTCAGCTTGCCAAAATTGGCCAGGTTTTTAATTTATTAAATAGAAGAAAACTGTTCAAACTATTTGTCCAGTAGATATCACATTCTCTGTCTGTTCTGGTGTCCCAGGCTCAAGGCCCCCAGTGCCATCAAACTTGGTGTCCATTAGTGGAGGGATGGATGAATAAGTAGGTAGGCTGCATACTGTGGAATCCTGTGCAGCAGATAAAGCAACAAATTAGATGATGGACAACAATTCTTAGCTCTTTTTTTTTTTTAAAGATTTTATTTATTCATTCATGAGAGACAGAGAGAGAGAGAGAGGCAGAGGGAGAAGCAGGCTCCCGAGGAGCAGGGAGCCTGATGTGGGACTCGATCCCAGGACCCTGGGATCATGACCTGAGCCAAAGGCAGACGCTTAACCATCTGAGCCCCCAGGCGCCCAATTCTTAGCTCTTTAAAACACAGTACTGGGTGAGAAAAAAATAGTGGGAAAAAATAATACATAAAGTGTATATACACAAAATACTATATTTATAAGAAAGGCATATTTAAGGAACATAGGAAACATATGAAAGTGGGTACTTAAGGTGGGGAGTGGGGGGTTGGTGATAAAGGGGAAAAATACAATACAAGAGAAGCCTGGTTCAAATTGTGATCATAAGGTAGTGTGATCTGAGGATGAGATGGACTCTTTCGAGGTCTCAAAAAAGGCATCAATAAATAATAGTTTTCAGAAACATCATCCTGTAAGTTAGTGTGTCCCAATGAGCTTCCATGGGACTTGAGCATTCTGAAAGGTGTTAATAGGTATTTCCCAAAAGCAGATTCTACGATCAAGCACATTTGGGAAACTTAGGTGAAACAAAGCTAATCAGGGTTCTTCGCTTTAGGTGTTCTCAGAGCATGTAATACATAATGTAATCCAAGACGGATATATGCAGCATTTCCCAAACTTCTTCGGTCTTAGAATGTTCTTTGCCAAATGCCATTTTTGCAAAGCCCAGAGCAGGAAATGCTATTGTAAACATTTACCCCAGTTAACTTTCTTCCCTCAGGACAATCTTTATAATCTATCCCTACCTGTGCTCCAGGCCTCACCTCTGCCGTGAAGCACCCTTTGCAGCCCACAGTAATGTCTATTCTGATTTTATTGCTACAATTCTCTGGCCTTCGGACAGAGGCCAATGAGCAATAAGACCAGAATACTTCACTGTTGCTGCAAAATAGTTATTACTGCGGCACTAAGATCAGAATACAGCAGGAAACTTTACTGTTGCTTCTGCAAAGACTGTTTGCTTTCTTAAGGAGGAGTGTGAAATAATCGTTCCTCTACATCCGAGCTTTTGGTTAAGTTGGCTTGAATAATTACAGGGAAGGTCCTTTCAGCCAATCATTTTACCCCATCTATTCAGATCGGATCACAGTAATACTTACTGTCTATTTCTCTCACTGGCAGGTGAGGGTGGGTGAGTCATATTTACAAAGCATCCTAACAGCCACAGGGGGAAAAAAAGTTTTCTTCACAATGTTTTGATGCTTTAATAAATTTAAAGAAAAATGAGAGGGCGAAACAAGGAGCTTGCAGGCTTTCAAACACCTTCAAGTCAATCAGATGGTTTCATAGCTTTGCCAAGCTCTGCCCGTCACTAGTATTCAATGACGATGATGACGATGAAGAAGAGAATGAGGATGCAGGTGGTGGTAGCTACCTTATAAAGTCTATACTTCAGGCAACTACTATGCTGAGCTCATCTTCTGCCCTCACAGGTTTAACGAGAGAGGTCACTAAAAAGCGCCTTTGACCAAAACCACCGTCCCCACCTGCCTCCCAGAGACCTAAAATTTCCATCTTTATATATAAGTTCCTATAGCCCCTTCTACATTTGTAAAAATGCCACAAGTATTATTCTTGATGATACCTTTGTATAAATTTGTTTATTGTGGATTTTATTTACTTTTTTTAAAAAAAGATTGTATGTATTTGAGAGAGGGTATGAGCAGGAGGAGGGGCAGAAGGACAAGCAGATTCTCCACCAAGCAGGGAGCCCCTTGCGGGGCTTGATCCCAGGACCCTGAGATGATGACCTGAGCCGAAGGCAGACGCTTAACCAACTGAGCCACCCAGCACCCCTGCTTATTATGGATTTTAAAAATTCACCCAGCAGAAGACATTGTTCAAATATTCAGCTTTGACTGTGGTGTGAGGGAGTACTCTTTGGGAGAACAGAGACAGATGAAACAAAGCAATCCTGTTTTCCTCCTACTTTGTACTTAATCAAATACTTGACATTCACTAAAAACTCACTATTTATAAAAGATACTTTCAAGGTCCCTGGAGTTTTAAAGATCAATGTAGACTACAATCTTTGCACTTAGCACTTATCAAGGAGGCAATCACAAATAATTATAATACGATAAAATGCTTTAATAAAGACATGAGAATTAGGTATGTAAAGCACCCAACCCAGATGCTCAGCACAGAGGAGTTGCTTTTTTCTCCCTGTTCCTCTGTGCAAGTCAAAGAAAGCGTCACAGAGAAGCACTCTATCTTGGAGGAGAAGGAGGAATCTTCCAGGCAAAGAGTAGGAGATGACAATGGTGTGCCAGTGAATGTTTAACAACCAGAACTCCAGGAGGGAGGGAAAAAAAAAAAAAAAAAAGCCCTGATGTGTAAGATTTGCTAATTTCCATGGTGTACATTTTCCTACTGTGACAGATTTCAAGGTACCAACGTGATGCCACTGAACAGAGTTGGGACCAGAGATGTGCCTGAGCTAGTAAGAGCCAGCTCCAGCATACCACTGGAGGACCAGATGGAAGGAACAGCACATGCTAAGGCATGGAGGTCTGAAAAAGCCAGTAATCGGTCGGCTCATATCCTGAAGGGTGTGAGTTAGGGTCCGGAAAAGAGATGGAAATGGGGAAGCTCGCACAGTCTGATCCAGATAATCCCTGAAGACTAGATAGGTGTAGCCTGTGTGTGGAGAAACAGACCATGAAAGAATTTGGAAAGTGGTTTGGGAAGAGATTACAAAAGGCATTAAACTTTTGCAATTTTCTCTTTTACGCAATTGATAGCGATCTAAACCATCCAGGATTTGCCTCTAAACTCTAGTGGCAGTGTGGAGGACTTACTGGAGGACAAGAAGACGGGGAGGAAGGTGACTGGTTAATAAATTTTCAAAACGGTCTTGAAAAGCGCACCAAACTGCCAATGCTTGGCATCTTTGGGCCACAACTCAGCCATTTCGGTCAGACTCATATATATCCCATCTTGTGGGGTTCTTTAACTCCGGTCTCTGGAAAACAACAAAAGGAAATAAAAATAATTTTTAAAACACAACTAAATAAAAACTATGCAATATAGTGCATGGCTTTCTCAAACATAAATGTTTGCATATATTTTTATATACAGTGCATTCTTTTGTGAATCCCTGTTCCTCCACAATAGGGAATACTTTGTCTGCTTCTGCTTATCTTCTTATTATTAACTCTTATTGCCTCTTCCTGAGTATCACCCTGGTCCCATTAAACTCCCATATTTGTGATATATTGGCTTGATGTTCAATTATACAAGTGCTCACCCCCTTTAAGCACAGAAAAGTCTGTTTTTGCAGCTGCAGCACCCCGGCAGCTCATTACGCTGAGCCAGATTTCCTAGGTGGGAAGTGCTCTCGCTGAACTCAGCATCTACCCTCGAGATGTCAGACTTTCTCAGGCCTAAGCCACACTCCTGGCCCTCAGCCGCATGGCCGGGGCGATTGATGGCCCTGTGTCTCTGTCAGCTGACCGGTTGGAAGGCTCCCTGACATAGTTCTAGTTCCCTGGTCAATGGTGCTCCATCAGATGGTCATGTAACTGTAGCCTCTGCCACACATTACTGTGTGATGCTTTCCAGGGACCCGCAGTTCCTTGTGGGTGGTCCTGTGATTTACAAAGAGGGGGGTGAGTGTGACAGTGTCTGCAGAACTCCATACCCTCTCTCTCTCTCCCTCTCTCTCTCTCCTTCTTTCTCATTTTTTCCTGTTTTCCTTTTCCTTCTGTATTTGGCATCAGAACCAAGCATTTATTACCAAAGGCTGCATTGCCCGGCTCCCTTAACTCTGGTACCACCAGCAGGTGGGGATAGCAGAAGCAACAGGAGAGCCCAGGAGGTGAGGGAAGGGTGGAAAAGTCCACTGCAGCTTCTCACGCCCTCTCAAGCTCACATCTGAGCCAACAAGGCAAGTCTGCTCACTTCCTCCCATGCACGCTAGCCCATGTCTCTGCCCCACTGGAATGCAGGGGTTGAACGTGCGGACCCTAGAGTCTGGCCACCTGAGACAAACCTTGTTCTATCGCCTCCCAGTAGCGTGACCTCAGTAGGATTGCCAGATTTAGCAAAAACAAACAAATGCAAACCGGAGACTCATTTGAACTTGTCAGATAAACAATGAACACTTTCTAGTGTAAGTACCTCCCACGCAATATTCATACCAACCTATTATTTGTTATTTATCAAATGTAGCTGGCTGCTCTGTATTTTATTTGGCAACCTTAGACCTCAGGCAAGTTACTTCACTTCTCTGTGTCCAAATTTCCTTGTCCAGAACTTGAGAATAATGAGCTGCCTACCAGAAAGGGCTGTTAACTTGAGGACTAAATGAGATAATATATATAAAGTGTTAGGACCCTGCCTACTGGCACATACTAAGACATGTTATGTGGATATTCAATATGGTATGGTGGAATGCATGGACTTGGGAATCATATAAGACCAGGTTCAATGTGACCTTGGGCGAGGTAAACTTCTCTGTGCCTCAGTCTCATCATCTACAGAATGGGGATAGAGTTCTTATGTTGTTGAGAGGAGTAAATAAGACTATACATGGAAATCATTTAGCACATTGCCTGACTCATAGTAAATGCAACCAGTAGTATCCTGTGTAATATACAGTCATAAGAACACCATCCTCACTCCCTCCATGAGCCATCTTTTTTCTTTTCATGTAAGCTTTACTCCCGACGTGGGGCTTGAGCTCAAGTTCATGACCCCAGGATCAAGAGTCCCATGCTCTACCAGCTGAGCCAGTGAGCCACCCTTTTGTGTGGTACCTGTGTTATGCATCTTTTCCATCCTATTCCAACAGGCACTGATTTCACTTCCTCTGAATTTCTGCGGTCCTTGCTGATTTTACCACCAACTGAACCCTTGACTATATTCCACCATGCACTGTTTGCTAACTGTCCCGTTCATGGATGCCTTATCTCATCGGTCAGATCCCGGAGGCCTCTTCTTCCAACTGCTGCCTTCGGTGCTGGGCACCATTTTCAGTACCTATCTTTCGACTGATTAATTTTTTTAGTGCCATCGTCACGGATGTAAGGACCGAGAGAAAGAGGCAAACCTGCATATCCAATGATCTACTTCCTGAGATGGACAGTGCAGACTCTCTCCTGCATGTAGAACCCTGGAGAAACAAGACAAAGTGTCAGGGCTACCATTATGGTGAGCTTGGTCAAGCAAACCATTACGTTGCTTGTCTTCTCCAAGTCTCTGGCACTGGTAGCCTCCTTCTCTCAAATCCTGCTGGTGAGGCTTAAGACATGAAGATGTTCAGCACACGGGTACCGAGCAGATCAATGATAATGCACTGGAAACAGCCTTAGTACTTAAGAAGGGACAAAAACAGGACGTTTAGGTACATCGGAACAGGGTGACAATAGTAAAACCTCTATCCCAGTGATTCTCAACTTGGACTTAATATTATAATCACCTGGAGAGCTTTCAAAACTACCAACATTCTGATTTAGTTGGTCTGGGTGGGGGAGCCTGGCTGTCTGGAGTTTGGAAAGTTCCCCAGGTGACTTAAATGGGCAGCCGTGGCTGAGAAACTCTGCTTATACTGCTTTAGATGGAAACTGACGGCCTGCCTGACATGTGATTTTTGCTACGTACAGAAAGCTGAATTGGCAACAGGTTGAGACCTAAATACCTTTTTTTTTTTTGCTTCTGGACAGTAGATAAAACAACTCAAAAATGACTTGATGTTCTTCCAAATTACTGTGTAATTAACTATCACTGAAAAAACTTCTTGCAAGGCTTTGCCAATGGCATATTTCTATATCCTGTTCGGCGAGCACACAGAGAGCCAATTTTCCAGTGTGGGGTAAACTCTGGTTTGTGGGTACTGATTACTAAAATCACTGGGTGGCCCCCCGCAAAGGCCTGGATCACAAAACTACAGACTGTTAGAGCTGGGATGCTGGAGCAGAGCCTTCTGCTCTTGAATGTGCACACAAATCACCTGGGGTCTTGTTAATGCCCACCTGCTGACTCAGTGGGTCTGGGGAGGGGCCTGGGAGTGTGCCTTTCCAATAAGCTCCCAGCTTGGTCCCAGGACCACATTTTGATAGCAAGACCTTGGAGTAAATCTGCCTTATGGAGCTTTTAAATATTTCTCGTGCCTAAGCCCCACCCCAGACCTAGTGAATCAGAATCTTTGAGCATCAGCATTTTTTCAAAGTTCCCCAACTGATTCTTATATGAAGCCAAGACTGAGAACCACCCATCTGGCAGCTGAGGAAAGTGAGGCCCATAGAAGTGAAGTAGTAAGAGAGCTGGCTGAGGGTCCAATACTTTGAAACCAGCACCCCACACAAAAACCTTCTTCCTCTTCCTCTTCCATTGAGACAGAAAGTAGATTAGAAGTTGCCGGGCCCAGAGACAGGAAGGAAATGGGGAGTGACTGCTAATGGACACAGGGCTTCTTTTGGGGTGATGAGAATGTTCTAAAATTAGCCGGGGGTGATGGTTGCAGAACTCTGTAAATGTACTAAATACCACTGGGTGGTGCACTCTAAATGGGTAAATGTTATGGTATGTGAATTATATCTCAATAAAACTATATAACAAACTTTTTAAACTTCCACTTCTCCTCACTATCATTTTCCTTTATCTGATTAAAGAAATTCTAACAAGAGCAGCTGGAGGTGGAGAAGGGGGGTGGGGCAGGGTGTATATAAAGAGGTTGACACCTGCTTGGATGTAGGTTAATTCAGGGCTGTTCCTAGCTGAGCTTCTTCCTCCCTGTGCCCCGTTAACTACCATAATTTTAAGGCATCCCGGGGTCTTCATTCTGAATGGGCTTTCAGTTGCAGGGTGAAATTTGGGGTTGAGTCATCAAAGTTTCAGTCTCTGCCAGGTCACAGGCATCTCAAAAGCAGACCTCTTACACTTAGGGAAAGAAGACTGTTCTGTGCAAATGAGGGCTGCCATAAAATAATTTCCTTGGGATGGCTTTTCACTTCAGAAGACAAGGAAATAGGAAGTGAAAATTTTTTTCCATAGAACTCATCACCATCATTTTAACATATTTATGGTTCAAGCATATTTATATTTCAGAAGATTAAGTAGATCCCAGTAATAGGTTTAAGGTGATAAACACTCAGCAATCTGTTCGTAACTGGTAGGCAAAGTGTTTAAAAGGATATATCCACCAATTTAACACTAAAATAAGGGAAAGAGATCCTGAAATTCTATATTCTTAATCCTCTTCATAGCAAAGAGTGGAGAAGTTAGGGAGAAATATCTTCATGGGATCTGATAGAGTCTCCTTTTTCAATTTTACCCAAAAAGCGTTTCAAATGACTCAGGCCAACTATGATTCCAGAACATTCCATGCCCTGAAAGACATTTTATTCTACCAGTTAATTCCTAAAGTTCAACTTTAGACAGTCAGGGAGCTGTTCCTCCAGTCACTGGACTCAGACTAATTGTTAATCCACACACAATTTCAAGGCCATTAACCAACAGAGGATTTCTTTATAAACACTCTTCAAAACCTTTCTCTTAGGAATAGGAGGGTGAAAGAAAGCTGTAATTATTCTTTCATTGCTTCAGTGAAAATGGGAAGTCTTAATAGATTGATGTGAAGGCAGGTATTCAAAACCATTTATTTTTTGGGAAAGGATCAAAATCCCTTTCAGGTCGCAGGATGAATTTCCCATCCACTGAGGGTGGTTAAGAAGTCTGCAAGATATGGGCGCCTGGGTGGCTCAGTCAGTTAAGTGTCTGACTCTTGATTTTGGCTTAGGTCATGATCTCAAGGTCCTGAGATTGAGCCATGCTGGGCGTGGAGCCTGCTTAAGATTCTCCCCTCCACCCCCCCCACTCTCTCTCTCTCCCTCTCTTAAAAAAAAAAAAGTCTGCAAGATAAGCCACATTTGTTGTGTGGCATCTTCTAACCTACCTTTAAGGGAAGATAAAAGACTTGGGTCTTTTTTTTTTTGCCTTTCTTTCTGGAAGGGTTTTTTGTTTTGTTTTGTTTTTTTGCCTTTCTTTCTGGAAGAAGCTAGGTCCTTGTTACTCAAAGTGGTGTCTGAGGACCAGCAGCCTTGGCACAACCAGGGAGCTTGTTAAAAAATGCAGAATCTCAGGCCCCTCCCCAGAACTACTACATCAGAACCTTCACTTTAATCAGGTGCCAGGTAATTCATTATCACATTAAAGTTTGAGAAGCACTAGTCCACGTCAACTGTTGTTGAACTTGGCTGCACATTAACTACTTGGGAAACTTTTAAAAGTCCCAGTCTCTAGACCAATTAGAATCAGACCAGGCATCAGTAGCATCAATATTTTTTAAGTTTCCCCAATGATTACAACGTGCAGCCCAAACAGAGACTAATGGTTCCAGGTCAGGTGTTGGCAAACGTTTTCTGTAAAGAATCAGATAGTAAGTATTTTAGGTTTCCTGGGCCATACTATTTTAATCACAATTTATCTGCCATTGTAGCAGGAGAGTATCCAAAGACAATATATGAATGAATGAGTATGGCTGTATTCCAATAAAGCTGACACTGGACGCTGAAACTTGAATTTCACATAATGTCATGTGTCATGAAAAAATTTTTTTTGTATTGTTTCAACAATTTAAACACATAAAAACCATTCTCAGCTTGAAGGTCATACAAAAACAGGTGACAGGGTGAGATTTTGCCCTCCAGCCCTGGTTTGCCCATCCCTTAACTGGGTCACTTTCTTACCAAAGGGAGGAAAAAGCCCTGAAGACTTTCACTTTCACTTGGGCTGATGCAGAAGACTGAAGGCCAGCCACCAAATACCAATTAGCATTCTAATGCAGCGAGCTTGATTAGAATGCTCCGTCTGCAGAGGACACTGGTGGTGCTCCTGGGATAACCCCAGGTGACTAACGAAAACCTAAATGGGAGTCCTCCCACTCAACTGCCACTGCTCACTTCGGTTTTGAGGATTTGGGTTCACACAGCTCAGTGTCAATCCAGGCTCGTTGCCTGCAGGACATTTCCTTCGTTGCTTGGAGGAGTTTTAAAGGAACTAAAGAAAGCTAAATTCCTGCCCTTGAAGGTCTTGAAAGGTAATGGGTGAGAAGACAAAAGATACTGTAGGAAGCCGGACATATAGTATGCTTATTTTTTCTTGCTGGCATTTTCATTCTAAATAGGGAAACGGTTACGTGAGCATCTGGATCATGGTCCTCTACAAGATTAGCAATGCGCTTTCATTGGATATAGTCATGCCTGTTTTCTAAAGAAGTGATTCATAGACTTATACGGCAGTCAGGGGGAATAAGGGTCATTTAATTTTCTCCCTTGATTCAGCCTTGGTGCTGTGGTTTTGTGTGTGTGCACATCTGCTTTCCGGACGATTTAAAGCTGAGGTGTATCGTTTAGCATTTCCATTTCCTTTAAGATTTAGATTTGCCATGCATCCTTCCCACTCCCAGCCAGTTCCCAGTGTGATCTGGTGCCCCAGCGGAGGGGCGCCCCTTCGGTCGCCGGGCCCCAGCTCCCTTCTTTTTTTTTTTTTTTTAAAGATTTTATTTATTTATTTGACAGAGAGAGACACAGCGAGAGAGGGAATACAAGCAGGGGAATGGGAGAGGGAGAAGCAGGCTTCCCGCGGAGCAGGGAGCCCGATGCGGGGCTCGATCCCAGGACCCTGGGATCATGACCTGAGCCGAAGGCAGACGCTTAACGACTGAGCCACCCAGGCGCCCCCCCCCCCCAGCTCCCTTCTGTAGGCTGCCTCAACGGGCTCTTTCTAACTTTCCTCTTAACCCTTTCCTGATGACTTCAAGAAGGAAGTCTCAATTAGCTACTAGTGGCCTTTAAGACTTCGCTAACAATTGGTACTTTAAAAAATTTTTTAAATTATTTTTTTCTTACTAATCTCTATCCCCAATGTGGGGCTAGAACTCATGACCCCAGAGATCAACCGTCACGGGCTCTACTGACTGAGCCAGCCAGACACCCTGCTATTTTTCTTTTCTTTTAAACATAAAACAGTCTTAGGGCTCAGGGCCTACAGTCAGCAATGGTATCCAGCTGGAATTCAATGACATCATTTTATCTTTATTGTACTACTTATCATTACAGTTAGCTATAACCGAGCTATCCATTTAGAGCAGTGAAATAGAGTTTTCAAAATGAA